TTAAAGTGACAATGGTGGTAGCTTGAAAAAGACACAGAAGCGATGTTTGAAGTAGGCATAGGAAAATCAGAGTGGCTAATAATGACATATGTGGATGATCATGAAGACATTGATGCCCAAAGGATGTTAGAAGATGACAGAAACGACGACAACGCATGCCAATGGGATGATGTAGCTGCATGAGATCCAGTAGCAGTGAAGGTACATCAAGGAAGACACTTTTTTGACACCGGATCAGCAATGGAAGTGAACCATGAGCAACGAAATTGTGGCCAGAGGTGACGATGCAAGACTAGCTTGAAGTTTGATGGCATGGTTAATACGATACACCCAGGAAAGGATGTTGTAGTCCTGCACTCAATTGGATGATGATGATTGATGAAGGTGATGACATGTGGTATAACACGACGACTTAAATAGAAGTGTTGATGACGTGCGATGTCAATGAACAAAAATAGGTGGTACTAGGTGAAACCCCGCGCATTGATACGGGAATTTAGTATGATAACAAAAAAAAAACGTGTAATATAGCTAGATAATATCAGATTAAGTAAATTAATGTGTTTATGATAATTTAAATTTAAATAGTATGTAGAATGATGATTCAAACGTAAAAAGTAAGGTGGTATGACTTTATGGAAGAAGAAAAGTAGGGAGATAGTTTGGACCGTAAATTATTCATCTAAAGGCTAAAAACAATTGATGTGATATGATTTAATTAGAGGAAAAAAGGAGAAAGATAATTTGGACAATAGATTAATCATTTAAGCACTAACTAAGTGAGGATGAACTATATAAGTATATAGGATATCATAAAACATAATAAAGATATACATTGAAACATTATGTGAATTATGTTGGATGATAATTTAACATGTTTGTATTTGAAAAGCTCTTAAATTATAAAAACTATAAAGATATAGCATGTTTGTATGATGTTTAAATATGATGATTGTTAGTGGATGATGATGTAGCATCTTGTTAGTGGATGATGATGTGGCATCTTTACATGTTAAGCTTAATGAGTTAGTGGGGGTTAACTTTATAATAAGATAGGATATATAACTGTTTCGATAAAATCAATTTATTTTATATAGGAAGTAACTCTTTATAAAATAGAAGTTACTATTCATAATATTGGAAATTACTACACTCCTAATGAAAGGTAACTGAAAAAACACTGTTTAAGGGAAGTAACTCTTCATGGTATTAAAGTAACTATACTGCTATAGAGAAGTAACTCTTAATAGTATTCCATGTAACAACATTGCTACAAAAGTAAATGATCTGAATATATACATTCAATATTGGTCTTGTATTATGATATATTTCCAATAGAGTACGATGGTTCAATATGATCTTAAAAGCAATATATATTTTAAAAGATATAAGCCACCAAAGATTTTAAAAATACTAGTGCGATGGTGCTAGACTAAGATTCTAAAATTCTACTGGTTGGTAACCAGCTTTTGAGAATCTAGAGAAGTGGGTTTTTCAGCTTTTGAATTGGGCCTCTTTGGGAGAACTTCTAGCTGCTGCAGCTTTTTCCAGTCTAGCTTTTGGTCCTAGTTATTTTATAGATTCTACAACTACAGATTTTTAGAATTTGGGTGACAATCTGAACTCTTTGGGGAAGCTAAAAATTCTGTCAGAAACTATGGTTGTTAGAAGCTCCTCCAAACATGACAAAGCATATGGCTACATGGTATTAAAAGTCGAAGTGTACTGTGACACGTTCTTTTTTTTAAACAAAGTTGTACCTGAGGGAAAAATGCAATGCTTCTAACATTGCGTTGCTGCTTAGAACTAAAGCACTATCGCTCATTTTATAGTCGCATCCTTTACAAAAGCTACGACCATTATTATTCATTTTACAGCACGTATTTATGCACTACTAATTCCTAATAATGACAAGAGAGTTATAAAAACACGCAAAAAGGATCATTCGGAAGACCATTACCTTTTCACTACAGCCTTAGCGAGTTAACTTTCTTTATATAGCGATCACCTTTCAAACACCTATAGTATCCTGTTCAGCAAAGACCGGGTGAAAGAATTTGAATGCACATAAATCTCCTCCCAAAGTACTTATTTCACAATCCAAACGCCAGTTTGTGCCTACCGAATTATCGCAAAGACCAGGTGAAAGAATTTGAAACGCACGTACCTTTCAGTACTACCGTTAGATTCTCTTTTTTCCGAAATTGGGCACTACACGGCTGACTCACCCCGGTTTGGAGCTATGCCCCAAAACGAGAAATCTTCCTGGCAACTTTCGCAGAAACACATCAGAAGGGCTTTTGCTTATTTATTAAGAAAAGGAAAAGGTGCTTTCGAAAAAGTACTTCCATCAAAATGTTTTATAGTACACTGTTGCACATCACAAAAAGCGCCATTTAAATTGAGAATTCAAAGCAACGCATGGTACAATTGCTGCTTGCTTGATGGACACAGACGGTGTGGCTGCACATGTAATGACGGAAGCGAGCATCAAAGAGGAAACAAATTAAAAGCAGTGAGTAATAAAGCCTTGGAGGAGTACATGGGTGCAAAATTTCAATTTTGCGTCACGGTGATTGGTGAATGAAATTTGAATGAATCAACAACGGCTACTTGTGGCAAAGTCCGAACTACACGGATGATGGCGTGAAGCTATCAACAAACAAAAATTTCTGGGAATGACAAGGACAGAGCCTAACATCATGTCAACAACCCCGTATCTTTGGTTTGCGACGTGCGGGATCATCTGTGGCCCTCATCTTTGCGCACCGAAAAGCTTGTAGAACTGTTTACTGGGTGAGCCTGTTCGGATTGCTTGCTGGAGGAAATCGGAGTGGATAGTTTCTATGGATAAAAAGCAATACGGATAGCTTTCAGAGTTGATAATTCTTAGTGGTTCGGATACATATACGGATATTTTCTCCCGGACGAATACGGATATGGTATCAGGATCTCTGACGGATATGGATATCCATGAACAATGCTCTTCGGATACCCGTTGCGACTATGAGACATACCCCACTTCTTATATAACTCTACAACCTTCAAGATACTTTTTTAGATTTTAATAGTAACCCATCTCTTAATACTAGTCCGCACTATTAATATTATTTAAACTTTTAAATATTTTTTTTACAAATTATACTATATTTTATATAAAATGAGCTAATTATATATGATGATATTTATTTCTATGAGAAGTTGAGGTGGTTTTTGTGTTCTGAGAAAAAAATGTTTTCGTATTCGTGTCCGATCATATTCGGTCCTTGTTTCAGTGTCCGAGTTATTCGTATTCGTTTTCATGTGCGGCGAAAAAAATATGCAAAACGAATATGGTGTGAGTAATATCCGTCCGTATCTACTCCTTTTTTTATCCCTAGCTAGCGAAGAGCCGTTGAATCTTAGCGCCAATTCCGTTGGTGTCGAGATCATGATTTATTTTAAAATAATTTTTTGGGCATGGTTCATTTCTTCAAATAAGTTCTCTAAAAGGGTTAAATTGCCAAATTTTCACTAAATTTTGGGAATTTGTAATAAAATTTTTAGCAGTGTTACTTGTGACTTATTATTTATCCTTGCCAAAATATATTGGCAACATCAATATTTTGACAACAAACAAAATGCATAACTATTTGTATTGTCGTCGTCGTTTTTGTGTGTGGTTTGTTTGTGCTATAAACAAAACAAGCCATCAATCACGTCTGTTAAAATAAAAGTATAATACAGTGATTAGAAAATATGCATATGTTTATTCTGGCTACGTATTTATCGAGACAATCCATATCCATACCACACATAGATATATTAGGTCTATTTTAGGTGAATATTTATATTTATACATATAGGTGACATCAATAATAACAAGTCAAGTTATCAATATGAATTATAGAATATTTAGGCACGAATAGGTGAAATAATCAATGACCACTGATCTAACTTGACCAAATTATAAGTTATAACTATCTAATTTATTAACTACTAGCGAAGAGCCCGTGCGTTACATAAAATAAATTAAGTTTCTAATTTATTAAGTCAATTAAGCACATATTTAATTTGAACAGTACTCTTATGATTTTTTATTGAAAAAGTAGGTGATTTTAAAATTTTAGGAGAACCAACAGTGAAACTGTGTTAAAAGATGTTGTAAATATTAGTAGTAGATAAACTTGTAGTAGACCAAAAGTTTACAGTGTAATACAGTCATAAGATAATTTATAATAAAAACCAAAATTTCAGCATAAATATCCTTAATCATTTTTTATCTACATATTATACTACCTCCGAAAAGAAAACAGAGACAAAACGGATTTGTTTCAATGACAGTAGTAAGATAGTAAGAGGATTTTCGAATTATACACTCATCACCCAACAAAAGGACTCCCTTCAGAACCACACACAAAAACCCATGAACAAACAATGCGGCCATTAAATTCGCATGAACCATGATTACCCGGGATTCTACGACCTGCCACAGGGAATGTCAAATCACCAATCATCTCTCAGGTGGCCCCCGTTTCCACATTCCGGCAGTAACACGAGATAGTAGTACAGTAGTAGAAACGAAATCACCAAAAATTAGCCACTAGCAGCTCGGATGGTTAGGGCAGGCAGGGCAGACCACCGCATGCACGCTCTACACGTTCTAGCCCCCGTCCGTCCGTCCGAGCCGAGCCGCGCGGAAAGCGAAACAGCACGCTCACGTTGCGGGCCACCCGCCGCCCCACCACCACTGCGGAGGGGGGAGAAGCCCAAATTCCCGATGGATCGCAGCGCGCAGACACAGAGGATCCAACGCATCAAGCTGTCCACCACATCGCCGCCCCTGCCCCTGCTGCTGCGAACCGAGGCTCGTGGGCCCCACCACCCCCTTACACCGACACGTATGTACCAGCAGCTGCGTACCTAACACCCACTGACGGCTCGGCCCCACCGTTGTGGTGGCCCACATGTCGGTGGGAAGAGCGGTGGAGCGGTGGGGTGGGTGGGTTAGGGTCGGGTTTTGGAAACGTAGGGTTGGGTGCGGGGCGTTGGATGGGGATCCGACGGGTAGGGTTGGTTGGTGACGGTGGTACAGATCTCTCCGCCGTACGCTTCAACCCCCCCGCAGCAGTAACCCACGCTGCGGCGCTCCCCCCACGCCACCACCAAGCAACTGTTCGGCGGAATGCCACACTAGAGGCGAGACCCAAGGACACGCTCCCCACGCCGCAAACAAAGCGCCGCCGCCGCCGCCGCCGAGATGAAGGGAGCAATGCCGCCGCGGCCGTTCATGATGCCGGGGCCTGGGGGCCCGATGCCCCCGCCGCAGCAGTTCGGCCTGGTGGAGACGCGCCCGCCGCTGGCCGCCGTGCTGCGGCCGCGGTTCAACATCCCGGGCCTCCACCCCTCCGCCGCCGCGGCCTCCGCGGCGGGCAAGATCGCGTCCACCTACGACCTTGTCGAGTCGATGCGGTTCCTCTACGTGCACGTGGTGAAGGCCAAGGACCTCCCCGCTGTCTCCGCCGCCGGCACCATCGACCCCTTCGTGGAGGTGAAGCTCGGCAACTTCAAGGGCACCACGCCGGTCCTCGGCGGCAACCACAACCCGTCGTGGAAGCAGGTCTTCGCCTTCTCCGCGACGCACCTCCAGGCGCACGTGCTCGAGGTGGCCGTCAAGGCCAAAGATCTCGCCGGCGGCGACGACCTCATCGGCCGCGTGGGGTTCGACCTCTCCGAGGTGCCGATCCGTGTGCCGCCGGACTCCCCGCTGGCTCCCCAGTGGTACCGGCTCGAGAACAAGCGTGGCGAGAAGACCCGCGGCGAGATCATGCTCTCCGTGTGGCTGGGGACCCAGGCCGACGAGGCCTTCCCCGACGCCTGGCATTCCGACGCCCATGCGGCGGCCGGCCCGGGGGCCGTCGCCTCCACGCGCGCCAAGGTATACTTCTCCCCCAAGCTCGTTTACCTCCGCGTCGCCGCCATCGGAGCGCAGGACCTCGTGCCGCTGGACGCGTCGCGCCCCGCGAACTTCTGCGTCAAGCTGCAGCTCGCCGGGCAGGTGCGGCGCACGCGCCCCGGCGCGCCGCCCGGCACGTTGAACCCGATTTGGAACGAGGAGTTCATGTTCGTCGTGTCCGAGCCCTTCGACGAGCCGCTGTTCGTCACCGTCGAGGACCGCGTCGGGCCTGGCCGCGACGAGCCTCTCGGCCGCATCATGCTGCCCCTCAACGCCGCAATGCCGCGCCATGACCACTTCGGCAAGCCGGTGGAGCCGCGGTGGTACAGCCTCGCGCGCCCCAGCGACGATCCTGACAAGAAGGAAGGCAAGTTCGCGAGCAAGATACAGCTTCGGATGTCGCTGGACTTTGGGTACCATGTTCTTGATGAGTCCACCTACTACAGTAGTGATCTCCAGCCATCATCGAAGCACACACGGAAGCCAAGCATTGGGATCCTTGAGCTGGGGATTCTTGGAGCACGAAACTTGATACCAATGAAGGGGAAAGATGGGCGCACCACCGATGCTTACTGTGTTGCCAAGTATGGACCGAAGTGGGTGCGCACGAGAACCATTCTCAACACTCTGAATCCTCAGTGGAATGAGCAGTATACTTGGGAGGTGTTTGATCCTTGCACGGTGATTACAGTGGTGGTGTTTGACAATAACCAGATTGGCAAGAATGGCGATGCCCGGGATGAGAGTATCGGCAAGGTGAGAATCCGGCTCTCTACCCTGGAGACTGACAGGGTGTACACCCATTTCTACCCTTTGTTGGCTCTCAAGCCCAGTGGCCTTAAGAAGACTGGAGAGTTGCATTTGGCTGTGCGATTTACATGTACGGCATGGGTGAACATGATTGCGCTGTATGGCCGTCCATTGCTGCCAAAGATGCACTACACACAGCCAATCTCAGTGATGCAGTTGGATTACCTGAGGCACCAGGCAATGCAGATTGTCGCGGCGAGGCTTAGCCGTGCCGAGCCTCCACTTCGCAGGGAGGTTGTGGAGTACATGCTCGATGTGGGATCGCACATGTTCAGTCTCCGCCGCAGCAAGGCCAACTTCTACCGTATCACCTCGCTGTTCTGTGGTTTTGCAGCGACGGCCAAGTGGTATGATGGCATCAGAAGCTGGCGAAACCCAATTACAACCGTGTTGGTGCATATGTTGTTTCTAATACTGATCTGCTACCCAGAGCTCATCCTGCCTACCATCTTCCTCTACATGTTCATGATTGGATTATGGAACTACCGTTACAAGCCAAGGCATCCACCTTACATGGACACTAAGCTATGCCATGCTGAGTTTACAAACCCAGATGAGCTTGATGAGGAGTTTGATTCATTCCCTAGCAGCAGGCCAGCGGACATTGTAAGAATGCGCTACGATAGACTAAGGAGTGTTGGAGGTCGTGTGCAGACAGTCGTTGGTGACCTGGCGACACAAGGTGAGAGAGCCCATGCTTTGCTTAGCTGGAGAGACCCTCGGGCCACCGCCATCTTCATATTCTTGTCCCTGGTTGTTGCCATTGTGCTGTATGTGACACCATTCCAGGTTCTGCTGGTTATTGCAATGCTATACCTGTTGCGCCACCCCCGGTTCCGCAGCAGGATGCCCTCTGTGCCTTTCAACTTCTACAGGAGATTGCCTGCCAAGTCTGATATGCTCCTTTGAGCCCAATGCATTGAGAACAAGAGAAAATGGAGGAAACCCTGTAACTTTGTTTCTCTCTTCCATTCAGTTCCCTACTGATTAGCATCAGATCAGATGTGAATATACTTAAGGAGTTGGTAAATTAGAGGCAAGTTAGCGGCCAGGGAATAATGTGTTCATTCGAATGTTATTTGCTCAGATAGGCAGAAAGAAGGGATTGACTGGACCCCTTCGAGTTTGGGGGGGCAGAGTTTGTTAATGTCGTGTTTCTTGGGGTAAGAACAATAGGCAGGCGCAAGCTAATCTTCAGTGTATTTTGTTTATGGATTTGTGCCAATTTTGTTATTTTCTTCATGTAATCATGTACTACCTGTTGGATGATGATGTTTTGCATTTCTGTGTGCTTATTCCTCTTGAAGCACTCGGCCTTCTTTTTCAGTGGTCATGCACTCATGCTGTTCTTGCTGAAGTTGTACTTCTCAGGCTTGCGATGTTTGTTGTTGCTGAAGTTGGTGCGGGTGTTTATTATCATGAAACTTTATTGTCGTTTTGGCTTTGCAACAGATTGATTTTGCTACATTTACTCTTGCCATATTCCAGTGTGATGTTGTGGCCTTCTTCGTCGCCGTGGTCCGCTGCAGAAATGTAGTGTCTGTTTCGTACGCGACGCAACCGACTGCAAGAAAGGAATTGGACAGCTATTGACCGAGGACCAGCTATTGGTACGAAAAGAATGCTGGTCCATGAGATTGAGACCCAATTGAATTTGCCAAGAAGGTGTTGGAAAAAACAGGTGTGAGAGAAGGTCGCTTTTCTGTTCTGCATGAGCCATGTGGATTTGGTTGTCTACTTGCCTACCTAATGGCAGGATGAGTCCTGCCTGACTCTGGCTTACCGCGGGTAAACCAGTTAGTTTCAATTTGCTCGGTAACCCTCTGACTTACGGGCCTGAACTGCCAATGCAAGAGTGCGTTCCCATCCATAAAGCGATCGACCTCGAATGCATCGGTGATGAGAAAATGATAATCTTAGAGCTGTAGAATTCTGACGCCCCCGGTTTATTTATCTTTTTTTTTCTTTTTACCAACAAGGCAACAACCAAATAATTTCATTATAGGGGTCTCCTTTCTCCTATGTTTCTCGAGTAAGATCCTTTCTCCTATGTTAGTTCACCAAATACTCGTGAGTGGTCGTGCACAGGTACACTGACCCAAGACCATTGCAACGTGCATCGATCGATCGCACTAACTGTCTGTCTGTTCAGTAGACTGTAGTCATGGTACAATGATGCATCCCCCGTACAGCTCTGAACTGGCCTGTGACAACTCCCAAGCCCAAGATATCTTACATGGGCCGTGTTCCACAATTAGGCCAGTGCAAGCCCAACAACTATCTTGGGCCAGATTTTCCCTTCGATTAGAACGCGCGGAATCCTCGCCATCCGGCGGGGAAAATCCACGGCGCGGCGCCGTGGCCGTCGGATTTCCCGCCGGCCCCACTCCCATCCGCTTCGCCGTCGCAACGCGAGCGCTCGTCCGCGACCACGACCACGACCACGACACGACGAGCTCCAGAGCGCGCGCGGCGTGGGAGTGATCGCGACTCGCGAGGGAAGAAAAATATCTGGACGCGTGGCTGTGCCGAGACAGGGCGGCCTATCCGTTCCAGGCTTCCAGCTTCCTCACGGAGAACTCCTCGGATAGGCGATGGCGGCCGCGGTCACCGCGCCACCGTACGCGGCGGGGGCGCCGCGCCGCCGGCTTCTCGCCGCTCGTCCGCTGGGCCGCGGCGCCGCGCTCGCGCTCGCGCCGGCCGCACGCACGTCGTCGTCCTCTGTGACGGTGAGGAGTAGCAGCACAGCACCACGAGCTCTCCGTTTCTTCTTCTTATCCACTCTCTGTGCGACGGGTGGACGAGCTCGCGGTTGTCGTGTCGCGCTCTGACGGTAACGGTTTCCCAGCTCCCGTGCAGGGACCTCGCCGCGGCAGCTGGGAGGACGTCGCCAGGCGCCGCAGCGGCCGGACCGAGGTGGCGAGCGTCGACGACGACGAGGCGTGCGAGCTGGTGAGCGGCGCGGACCTCGTCATCGGTGGCGACGTCGACGAGGGCGACGGCGTCCGCGCCTACCTCCTCAAGGCCGTCAAGAACAACAACGGCACCGGCGTGCTCCTCCTCTCCGACGTCTTCGGCTTCGAGGACTCCGCCACCCGGGACTTCGCCTACCGCGTCGCGTGCCACGGCTACAAGTAAATCACGCCGCGCCGCCTCTCTCTCTCTCTCGCTTCTTTCAACTCTCGTTGCTCGATCGTTGCACGCAGTGTTCTTGTGCCGGACTTGTTCCGGGGGAGCCCGTGGAAGAAGGCGGAGAAGGACGGCTTCGACGCGTGGCTCGCCGGGCACGCGCCGGAGCGGGTGTCGGGCGACATCGACGCGTGCACGAACTGGCTGGTGGACGAGTTCACGGCGGCGGGGGTGTCGAGGAAGCTCGGGATAATCGGGTTCTGCTACGGGGGCGGCCGGCTGGTGGAGACGCTGGCGCGCGACGGCGGCGGCGGCGGCGGCGCCTACAGCGCGGGGGTCTGCTTCTACGGGTCCAGGATGGACGCGTCGCTGGCGCCGCGGCTCGCCGCGCCCGTGCTGTTCGTGTGCGGCGACGGCGACCCGCTGTGCGGGGTGGAGACGGTGCGGGCGCTGGAGGCACGCGCGAGGGGCGCCAGGGCCGCCGTGTACGCCGGCAGGGGGCACGGGTTCGCGCACCGGCCGCAGTCGCTGGAGGACGACGGCGACGCCGAGGACGCGTTCGCGCTGATGCGGGGGTGGCTGCACGACCACCTTCTCGCCTGATCATCCTTGTTCCGTTTCAAACTGTTCGCTCGTAGACATTGGACAGGGTTCTATTTATACTATTGACTATGTTACTGCTTGTGTAAATGTGTAATGCACATGGGCATTGCATTGCACTTGAGAAATGAGTAGTTGAGTATTGTAAGTTCAATAGTTTCGTTTCATGTTTTGGAGTCGGAGCTTTCAATGTGTCACTCTGGCTGTGGCATATTTCTCTCCAAAAATAACACGAAACCTTTTTAGTTGTCCATGTGATTTCTCTACTACTCCCTCCATTTGGAAATATTTGACACCGTTGACTTTTTAGCACATGTTTGATCGTTCGTCTTATTCAAAAACTTTTGTGAAATATGTAAAATTATATACCTACATGAAAATATATTTATCAATGAATCAAATGATAGGAAAAGAATTAATAATTACTTAATTTTTTTAATAAGACGAACGGTCAAACATGTGCTAAAAAGTCAACGGCGTCAAACATTTCGAAATGGAGGGAGTATATATTAAAAAAAAGCGGAATCGTCATCCTTCCGTTCCCCTCCTGCGATCACCCGCATTCCCGCAACACGTCCATACACCACATATGATCTTTTATCCTCCAATCACACTTATACATATCCTTATTTATATAGGGCTAGCCTATTACAACGTAGAGACGTGTTACAAGTTTATTAGAAAAACTTTCTAGAATCTTGTAAATTTTAGATCATTCGATTGCTTTAAGATTTATGCTGCTACAATAATTCTACCTTATCCTCTTCCCACCCCCATCATGGCATCGTTCACTCATTCTACCAGTCACTCTCTCGATCTCCACGATACCGGCGACACCCCTGCCATTCTCCTTCCCCTCCCTCTCTCCTCCTCAAGGGGTGCCAAACAGGGGGCCCCATCAACGCCATCTTCCCTGTCTTCGGTGGTTCTCCGCCGCCAGCCCCCTCCTCCTAACCACTTCCTCGCTTTGTCCCCACCACCAACGCTTGTCCACCGCTCACATCCATTCCTATAGCTCCCTACCGTCAGGCCGCCGCTTCCCACTGCCATCTCTCTAAGCTTGGCGATCTCCCCCCACCCCTATCCTAACCTGAGACCCTAAACCGTAATTATTTGGGCTATCGTCGATCACCGAAGCTTCGCTAGAGCTAGAGGAGAAGAGGTCACCAGAGCCGGAGAAGGAACAAGGGTTGTCGAAGTACGAATCAAAAATTAAATCTGAAGGTTAGAAATTTGCAAGATTTTAGCCTCAATTTTCTATCGAATGACAATTAGCAATTTCGATCTTTTTAACCAGTTGATCTAAATCGAAACGTCCAGATTACCATTCGTCTCCTTATTATCCCCTTCATTTTATTCGATGCAGTGAAGCCCTAGGCTGTAGTGCTACAAGCTTGAAGCAACATCATACCTGCACCTCTGCTGTGTCGTGCTACACTACACATCGCCTCGACGATGTCACCTCTAGCACATGCAACTATACATGGGGCATCCTTGTAACCCTAATGTACCATGTGTTTTCTTCATCTTCCCCAACTCCAGTGCCTTCATGTCACCATCCTCCTCTGTCTCCGTTAGTTCCCATGGCCAGATTTGTTGTCACCTATGCAACCACTCCAAAGACAAGCTTTTACCGTCAGATATACTGGCCCACTTCCCCTCTCTCTCCCGTGCCCATAGCCGAGACGACGTCATCACTGCCTCGCCCTCTCATAGCCATGGGTCATTGACGGACTACCGCTGCCCTGACCATCCTTCCAAATAGGAAAACACCACAGAGTTCGTGGAAGGGAGTTCGATGGAGCTTGTTCAGAGTTCGTCACATATCGAGAAAGAGTTCGTCACATATCTCTCTCAACTCTTGTCATCGATCGAGTCGCATCCCTTAACCAAGGGTAAGAGATGAGGGATATACCCGGTTTTATGGTTGATGGATATGATTTGACCCAGGGTAAGAGATAAGGGAGGCCAAGTAGACTTATTCCTTTAAAGGTGGAGGAAGAATTCACGGGCCGTTCTGACTTGAAAGAAACAGACTTTACAGGCCATGTGAGCTACTCCAGCAGCTGGTGCTTGTACAAAGAATTCACGGGCCGTACGGCCCATATGGCCCAACTACCTACATCGTTCCTTCCAGCAAGTACAGGAACAAAACGAATTCTCGGCCTGCCTGCGAGCCGGCTGCCGCATTTCTGTACCAAATTAAGCTCTGCTGATTTTCGAGTAGTCGTTGATGCCGCCAACTGACCAACCCCTGTGAGAGAAAAATCTGCAGCCTGCAGTGTAGGTCAGACAAATCCAGGAGCAATAGCACAATTATAAACATCGTTGTCCATCTTTTTCTTATCTGAAACTAGTATATCGCCGTCAGTTTAATTTCCACCCAGATGTTGCGTAACGTCTAAACCTAACCGGGATGGGGCTTCTTCAAAACCGCCATTGACATCAACCTCGGAGTGACGACTAAACACTGACCCCAGTGAGTTAAACGGATAATACATATATATTTATCTGCTTCCATCTGCAATTCTGACTGCAGGCAGCGGTTCACTTCATCAGACTCATTTCGCCAATGTGTGTGACGGTGTGTGACCTACCTAAATCCACGGGGATCACTGTCATACATAAACAAGTCGTCGCTGATGCTGTATCTGTGCTACTCACAGTGCTTAATGACTTAATCATCTGCCTTAACATAATAAATACTAACTTGTATGCACTGATAGCGATTAGATTAAATATCTAGAGGCTCTGAGAACTGTATAGGAGTATGTTTGAAACAGGGCTATCTGGTCACAGCCTCACAGGCTGGCTAGCATATAATCCTATTGCTCTAGCTGCCCCAGCAGCCAGCTGCTTCTTGCAATGGCGTAGTTGGGGCGAGAGAGAGAAAAGAAAAACGCATGGAATCCAGAGCTGGAGATATGAATCATGTGGGCTCGGTGGTTGTGTTCATGGCCGGCACAACGCATTAGACATTTAGACGTTAGCTAGGGATCATTAGCACTTGTAGTAGATAGGAGCAATATACATGTCTTGGGGCCAGGCAGGCCAGCCCATGCATTGCATGATTATTCAGGGTTTCAGACTTTCATCAGTAGTGGAGTTCACATCATATACATATACACATGAAGAAATAATGTAATAATGTGCTGCTAATTGCTAACTAATCAACAAGGTTAAGGTTGTAATGCTGTATGCGCTAGCTAGCATGTAGCTGGACTAGATTATCTAAAACCAAAATACGGTACCATGTTGGAAATCACTTTGGAGAAAGAAAATGCAGCAGCTGGGGTTTGCTCTCTGGCATAGAACAGCTAAGCTAGCAACCTGCGTGTAATTGGTATACCACTGCTTTATTCTTCTTCCCCAACAGGTGATACCTAGCATGATTAGCTAGCTTAATCCCGTTGTTAATTAATTCGTTGTCACCTGTCACAATCCGAGGTGATCTACAAAGGGCCTGTTTGGCACAGCTCCAGCTCCAACTCCATCCCTCCTGGAGCTGGAGCTCAGCCAAACAGTTTTAGCTCCACCAAAACTAGGAGTGGAGTTGGGTGGAGCTCTCTCACAAAATGTACTAGAGTTGTGGAGCTGGGTTTAGGCAGCTCCACAACTCCACTCCAGTCTCAACTTCTGGAGTTATATTTAAGAGTTGGAGCTGTGCCAAACAGGCCCTTTGTCTCAATTCCGGCCTTCTTTTTATGCCCCGATCAATCATTGCTCCACCTCACTTTAGGAGCTGGGAGCTACGTACCGATCAGTGATCACATTTGTTTGGATGCTTTTCGCTTAAAATACTTGGTTTATGGGATAATTGCAAGATGATAATGCGCAGGTAGGACCTGGGAATTATAATGTGGCAGCCACTTGGTTTACTTAATTAATATAAAAGCAATGTGTCGTACAAGCTGATTGCAAGGCATCTGATGGAGTGAAATGGTTGAACTGGTCCGAGGATCTTGCCAACTTCTAGCTGCTCGATCCAGTTTGGAAACAGCTCCTCATTGGATCGGCGGTTTACAGCAGCTTAGCTAGTTTGGTAGTAGTATATTGTTTTCTTCTCTCTAGCTCCTTTTCAACTTTGGCAAGGGAAGAAGAAGCTGCATGCGCATAGGCCAGGTCTACGACGGGTTGTAGAGGCACTTTTCTTTTCTTAGAGGTAGCTTAAAATTGCACAGAATATTTTCATTGTAGATGCACGTTATAGACATTTTGAACACATTTTATAAAAATTTATCTAGTAAAGATATCGTTTTGGCACTTTAAATTTTATAACCTCATATGTAGAGACATTTTAACATCAATAAAGACACTTTTAGAATGCCAATATATGCTTGCCTATTATAAATACACAAGGCATGTATGTTTCAATAATGACATGATGAGGTTGGGATAGCCAATGTAACGAAGAATAGAATGATTTTTTCACGAGGTAATAGCATGAGAAAATATTTTTTTTCATTAGTTTACTATGGTTGTAGCACAATCTAATGCCTCTACCTAGCCTCTTACAAACAAAAAAAAGCCTCTAAAATGTTGCTAGGTATACAAATATTTTATAAAATGCCTCTATAGTATTTTAAAGTATTTGAAAAATGTCGTAGTACAAAAATGTCTCATGAGTTTATGTTGTAGTGTTTGCAGTTCTCTAGAATTGTATCAATATGCATTGCCCCCCTCCACCCCCACCCCCACACCCCACCACCCCCGGTAATCTCTTTCCTTCCTCTCCTCGAGTCAGTCACGTTCGCACGTACGAGCACGACTCAACTTCGGCCACCACTGCTTGACTCCCATTGCTTTTGCCCTTGCGTCCCAAGTGATGAACGCCATCCTCTTCTCCCCCCCCCCCTCCTACCTCCGTTGCCCTTCTTCTCCAACTATGATGACATGAGGCCCTTTCCTTGCCGGTCCTTCCTCATCTTCATTATTTTGTGCCGTCATATCCATCTTTGTCGCCCTTGCTTACTAACTACTGTCATTATCTTCACCCTGTCATTAACCGTCGCCCATCCCTCTAAAATCTTTCTCATTGTCTTCCTATCTCTCTCCACCATCAATCCCAACCCTAAACTCGTAACCAGGAGATCCTTCGTTGAAGTTTTGGTGTTGCCGGCCCTTAGGCTTCTTGAGGACATCATCGTTCCCGTCGCCGCTAAGTAGCCATCTGACTGCCTGTCCCCTCTTCTTTCCTCCCCAAATCTAGAGAATAAAGATGACTAAAAATCCTCACATTTATTTTTTTCTTACATTTCAGTCTAAAAAAAGAGAATGTTAGCTAGCTTGACTGGCAGAGAGTTGCCAAGAGCAACTCGATAGTATGGGTACAAATCCTCTCTGTCGCAGGTTACCTCACCATTTTCTTCTCTTTAAATAATGGATGCTAAGTTTCTTCTTATTACTTCAACAATTTTTAAGAACAGTAACTAGCTCGACTGACATAGAGCTACCAGGAGCAATACACCAGTCTGGATTCAAATTTTAAGAATGGTAACTATCTCGGCTGGTAGAGAGCTGCCAAGAGCAATGCACGAAAATGTTATCTCATCATTTTCTTCTCTATCAATAATGGATGGTAAGTTCCTTAAAAGTTCATCATATTTAATTTTTTCGATTACAAAATCTGGATGGTAAATTCCTCATGAGTACTTCAGCCCTTTTCTAAGAAGAAGCAGAAGAAGAAGAAGAAGAAAAGTTTTTTTTTCGCGATTACAAAATCCTCACATTTCAGTCATCGTCATAGTGATCCTGAAATAATTACTCCCTCCGTCCCAAAATAAGTACAGTTTTACACTATTCACGTTCAACGTTTGACCGTTCGTTTTATTTAATTTTTTTTTATGATTTGTATTTTTATTGCTATTAGATGATAAAACATGAATAATATTTTTTATGTGACTAAATATTTTTAAATTTTTCACAAAATTTTCAAATAAGACGGACGGTCAAAACGTTGGACACGAATATCCATGGCTGCATTTATTTTGGGAGAGAGGTAGTAATTAAGCACACGCATATGTCACCGTTTCGTACCAGCTAGTGGTACTGCCGGTCTTTACCCCTGTTTTCTTTTCTTTCTTGCTATAGCTTTTACCGATCGTTTTCTGGTAGGAGAAAAAAAAATGCCATTGGACCAAAATTAACCCCAGCTTGCATGCACAAGCCACGACCGTTGCCAGAGTCGGACGGGGATATCTAACCGATGGCCCCGGTGCCAAAGGCTGCAACAGCTCGCGCGAGCACACTACCGTTAGGATCTGCAATTCTGCATTCTGCAAGCAGCAGCAGAGCCATGTCTCGTCTAGAGAAAAACAAAGAAATGATGATAAACTGTTCGAAAAATACAGGTAGGCTACCGGGTGCCCGTGAAATTTAATTAGAAGCCGTGTACTAAATCATAATCACTGAGCATTAATAACCGATAAAATAAGACAGTGGTATCATCTACCAGATATCAGCTGATATCTCAGAGATATTATCCCGTCCGAACGGTATATCAGCCGATACCTATCAGAGGTACTAGGTGATGCTTTAAAGGTATCATCTTATCCGAATGAAATACCGTCCTGTAGCATTTTTCAATTAAGTAATAACAATTTATATAATTCCATAACTTATTTCATGCAACATGAAAAAAATTGTACCAAATTATTTCATGCAACATGATAACAGGCGGTCGAGTGGCGAAGTGATCAATCATCAATCAAGAAAACGAATCGAAGCTCTCGATCCCAGGAAATCGATCGAGCCTCCGTATACCTAATAACTTCTACTACCAAATTGGTGTAAGCTTGTAGCTCAATAATATAGACAAAATAAATACTCCCTCCGTCCCAAAATAAATGCAGTTTTTACGCTATTCACGTTCAACGTTTGACCGTTTGTCTTATTTGAAAATTTTTTATGATTAGTATTTTTATTGCTATTAGATGATAAGACATGAATAGTACTTTATGTGTGACTAAATATTTTCAATTTTTTCACAAATTTTTCAAATAAGATGGACGGTCAAACGTTGGGCACGGATATTCACGGCTGCACTTATTTTGAGACGGAGGTAGTACTCTCTTCATCTACTTTTGATCATCAAATTTCATCTTGGCACAGAGACCAAGTATAAGTAATTATACTTATCATTCATTTAAACATGCTACTAGTTATTCCTCGTAAATAAGCGATTCATTAATATTTACATTTCTCGATGCCCATGCAACCAATTTTGTGTGGAAGAATAGAGAGTCACGCATTAAATCCAAGAAAGACATTAAGAAGATAGGTTACTGGATTGAAATATGACTATAAAAAATAAAATTTTCAATTTAAAATATAACTATCAAAAATAGAAAGTAGATGGAGGGAGTATAACGGTAGACGGAGGGAGTATAACGGAGAGGAAGCAGAACCAGCAAGTACAAATAAAATTGCTCAAATTTTTGTTTGTATCCCAACACTTAATTCCACATGCCCATACTATTCCTTCCTGCCTCAGAGTATTGGAGGACTAGCAATAAATAAACCAATATAATACGCAACCAGCCAACTAGTACTGTGGTACTACAACGGTAGAGAGAGAGCCATGCCACATGAACGTCTGGCTGACCTCTGAACGGAAAGCATGACGTGAAACAAGCAAGACAAAAAGGAAAATGTATCAATCTTCACCAACTGGAACGTGGCACAACATGTTTCTCCTATTGCTACCGAACAAAACAACACACGACGATCAGCAATGGCCGAAATGAGATGGACTCGTGGAAATGTACTAGTAGTAGCCTAGTGAAAACAGGACAAATTTTTTACTACACCGTCTTTGAAAGTAGAGAAAATCCAAGACAATTATGTAACACACGTTTAATCATCCATCTTATTAAAAATTATATAAATACTATTTATTTTGTTGTGAGTTATTAGCACTTTAAACATGATTTATATCTTTTGTATCTGCATAAAACTTTTAAATAAAACGTGTGCCCAAAACTTAACAACCTTATCTATTAAACGTTATCTACTAAAATAAAAAAATTATGTAAAAATTTAGATGATAATTTTTTACTAAAAACACTTGGTGAGGTTTTAGGTGATCAGGTCTTATGGTCACAGCACCAGCTAGAAGCCCAGATTACGACTTAGGTCGGATATTTGACCGGATGTTGGAAGGGGTTTTTGGACACAAATGAAAAAAATAATTTCATAACTCGCCTGGAAAACACGAGACGAATTTGTTAAGCCTAATTAATCCGTCATTAGTAGCACTTATGGCTAATCATAGACTAATTAGACTTAAAAGATTTGTCTCACGATTTTCATGCCAATTGCGCAATTAGTCTTTTATTTTATCTATATTTGATGTTCTATGCATATATCAAAAATTCGATGTGATGTTTTTTTAAAAAAATAGAAGTTAAACAAGACATTACGAGTTACGATTACTGTCAGTACTAGGACTTTGTTTAGTTCACACCCAACTTTCCCTCAACTTCTAACTTTCCATCATAACACATCCAAAACTTACACACATAAATTCCCAATTTTTTTTAAACTAACAACTTTCCCAAAAGTTAAACACAGCCTACTACACTCGAGGCGCAGTTTCCGGCGCCGACCAAGGTGCGGCGGGCCTTTGGATTCCACAGTTGGGTCAAAGCGAGAGAGAGCCTCAGCCTTGTGGTGATCACCCGCAGCAGTAGACATTACAGCGAAGCGAGGGTCCTCCTGTTCTTATTTTAACCCTGCTTTAATCAGTCTCCCTGATGACTCTTCTTAATTAATTACGTGACCATTTTTTTAATCTGCCAATCAGACGTAGAATCAGTTCGGTTGGGCATCGTACTGTAGCTAGACTGATTAGAGCAGGGTTAAAATAAGAACTTGTCAATCGGACTAGTGTTTTGTTGGCTTCGATCTTGCTGAACTTGTCAAACCCCTGTCCGCATTTAGTACCAAAACTCTTCTTTAAAAGTCTGGTTCAGTTTTCTTGGGCATTCTGCGTCATTTTCGGGGGTAATTAATTGTGCTTGGCCCCAAATTTTGATTGCTCAGCCTCAGCACAACTTTTTGAGCAGTGAGGAACATTTTTGACAAATTTCTTGTGTAACACCGGACCAAACACTTGCCATCTTCGAGTAATTTCGTAGAAATGTTAGTGTCTTTGGTGACAACACAGAGCCAAGAAACGCAGAAAAGAAAGAGAAGAGAGAGAGTTTCTGACCATTTTCTGTTCTTCAGAGAAAAAAATGGTGGGAAATGACAGAAAATGAAACTGCAACTTCTTCCATTAATCCATAATAAGACGTGACACGGAAAAGAAGCGGAGTTTTCACCCCGCCCAAATTCGCCGGATTTTCTTTCTTCTTCTGTCGGCGAGACTGATCCATCGATTAACAACAGTCATCCGTACTTAATTTGTACTATACTCATGCCTCGATCAATCTCTGATCGCCAGTTTTCAAAGCTGCAATTGATCCGGACTTGTTTAAGAAAGACGCTAATCATAAACACTGCAAACAAATAAAGCACGCTGGACCAGCTGGGTTGTCGTCTAGATCGCCTCCTGCAGTCCTGCTCCTGCAGCTTGGATAATGAAGATGAGATGAGATGAGTCATGGCCCATGAGTGGTTGATGACAACCGCGACAGTGATTTTTTAATACTACTACTACAAGAGATTGGCAATTTGACAGTGCTCAACCACATACTTTGCCGATGTGACCCTAGCAAAGCGGTGACTAAGGTGCTGTTAAGATTATTGATGCTATTTTAATCATACTATTTTTTTAAGTAAAATTAGAAAAGTACTTATATTTAATTTATGGTCAAACTTTGATAAATATATAAGAAATCTTACTAAAATTTTGATAATATTATGAACTTATCAAAATTTTAATATTGATAAAATTTGATAAGGTTTATTTTAGCTTCCATCTGAATCGCCTCTAATCTCCAAGACATCCTCTCTCTCTCTATCTTTCTCCAGCTTCTACACGATCTGGTGGTGTTGTTAAACTTGTTAATCAGCTACTGGCCTGCTTGTCAATGCTAATGATAACGTTAGGGCAAAGGCAAAGGGACTAGAGAGAGAGAAGTACTAATAGTAAACACTATAAACAGTATTGAGAGAGTGAGAGGGCAAAACTCAAAAGTAGTGTCAAATGCTATGCTAATCCCATGCAGGATGTGGGCCCCACCTCCCAGTCTCCCACACGACCTGTCTGTCTCTCCCTCCTAGTACTACTACTACTACATACAGCTGCCTTTGCTTAGCTCACGCTTCCATCCAGCAAACCAAACCAGCTAGCCAGCTGCTGCCTCGCCGCCTTCCACCTCTCTCTCTCTACAAATCTCTCCCCGTTTCTCTCTGCCTCTCCACCTCCACGTCCATCTCTCTCTCTCTCTCCTCTCTCCTCTCTCCTCTCTCCTGTCGCCTTCCCACGCGCGCCGCTCGATCCGTGTAGCTGTCAGCGATGGCTGAGGAGGCGAAGCAAGAGACCCCCGCCGCCGCCGAGGTGGTGGTGGTGGAGAAGGCCGACGAGGTGGTGGCGGTGGAGAAGGCCGTGGAGGTGGAGGCGGAGGAGAAGAAGTTGGCGGAGCAGGAGGAGGAGGAGGAGAAGAAGGCGGAGGAGGCGGAGGAGGCCGCTGGGGGCGATGAGGCGGCGGTGATCGAGGGGACGGGGTCGTTCAAGGAGGAGAGCAACCTCGTCTCCGAGCTCCCCGACCCGGAGCGCACGGCGCTCGCCCAGCTCAAGGAGCTCGTCGCCGCCGCGCTTGCCGCCGGCGAGTTTGACCTTCCCCCGCCGCCGCCGCCTCCACCGGCCAAGGCGGAGGAGCCGGCCAAGGAGGAGGAACCCAAGGCCGCCGAGGCCCCCGCCGCCGAGGAGCCCAAGGCCGAGGCCGAGGCTGAGGCTGAGGCCGCCGCCACGGAGGAGCCCAAGACCGAGGAGCCCAAGACCGAGGAGCCCGCCAAGGAGGAGGAGCCCAAGGCGGCGGCGGCGGCTGCGGCCGAGGAGCCCAAGGCGGAGGCGGCGGCGGAGGAGGCCAAGCCGGCCGAGCCGGAAACGGAGGAGAAGACCGTCGTGGTCACCGAGGATGAAGGCACCAGCAAGACGGTGGAGGCCATCGAGGAGACCGTCGTCGTCGCCGCCCCGGCCGCGGCCGCGGAAGCCGAGGCTGCGGCGCCGAAGGAGGAGCTGATATGGGGCGTGCCGCTGACCGGCGACGACGAGCGCACGGACACCGTGCTGCTCAAGTTCCTCCGCGCCAGGGAGTTCAAGGTGAAGGAGGCCATGGCGATGCTCAAGGCGGCGGTGCTGTGGCGCAAGCGCTTCGGCATCGACGCCGTCCTGGCCGCCGACCTCGGCCTGCCGGAGCTCGAGAACGTGGTGTTCTACCGCGGCGCCGACCGCGAGGGCCACCCCGTCTGCTACAACGTCTACGGCGAGTTCCAGGACAAGGACCTCTACGAGAAGGCCTTCGGCGACGAGGAGAAGCGGGAGCGATTCCTCAAGTGGCGCATCCAGCTCCTCGAGCGCGGCATCCTCGACCAGCTCGACTTCTCCCCCAGCGGCATCTGCTCCATGGTGCAGGTCACCGACCTCAAGAACTCGCCGCCCATGCTCGGCAAGCACCGCACCGTCACCCGCCAGGCGCTCGCCCTGCTCCAGGACAACTACCCCGAGTTCATCGCCAAGAAGGTTAATTCTCTATAACTTCTCAATCTTTACATTCCTGAATTGTTTCATCATTATCAGCGCAAAATTAGAATCACTTTGCTCAATACTTGAAGGTTTTTATGTTTGTACCTGATCAGTTTTCTCAATGTACGTACTTTGGTTAAAGATACTAGTAGGATCTTTAGCTGTATATGCTGTTGATGTTTCTTTCTGATCAGTATGATTGGACGATTAATGGGTGGAAGTTGACTAGTGCCTGTCTTGCGATAACTAGACTAGATATGGTTGTGCAAATGTGCAATCAAGATAGGGATCTTTTCCCTTCAACCCCTTCCTCCTTTTGCTCCTAGGTTTAGAAATGACACGCAAGGGTACATTTGTGGTGATATTGGAGTGACCTTTCAAATGTTTGTAGAATTGAATGAACTGAATTGTGGATGACATGCAGATTTTCATCAACGTGCCATGGTGGTACATTGCGGCTAACAAAATGGTGAGTCCGTTCCTCACACAACGCACCAAGAGCAAGATCATCTTTTGCACCGCAGCCAAGTCTGCAGAGACCCTTTTCAGGTTGGCATGACAGGCAATTGAATTTTCATGTCATCATACTTCCAAATGCCATCTTCTTACACTGTGTTGCTTGATTCATCTTATTTGATACAGATACATTGCTCCTGAGCAAGTCCCTGTCCAATTCGGAGGCCTCTACAAAGAGGATGACACCGAGTTCTCCACCTCAGATGCTGTCACAGAGCTTCCGATCAAACCTTCATCCAAAGAAACTGTTGAGATTCCTGCTACTGAGGTTGACCTTTGTTCCTGTTTCCTGATTCTTACACTATTCACAATGCAATGAGAGAATAAATACTAATCATTTGGTCTGTATGAAATGTGCTATAATTGCAGAACTCCACGGTTGTGTGGGAGCTTCGGGTGCTTGGGTGGGAGGTGAGCTACGGTGCAGAGTTCACCCCTGATGCAGAGGGTGGCTACACTGTCATTGTGCAGAAGACAAGGAAGGTGCCCGCCAATGAAGAGCCGATCATGAAGGGCAGCTTCAAGGTTGGCGAGCCTGGCAAGATCGTCCTCACAGTCGACAACGCAGCATCCAAGAAGAAGAAGCAGCTTCTTTACCGATTCAAGGTCAAGAGCTCCTCTGAATCTGCCTAAGGTTCGAGATATTTGGCTCTATAGATATGATCACCAACCAAGGTCCACAGGTCCATACCACCACCATTTGAACATGTTGCATCATAGAAGAGAACAATAAGATTTTTAGGTGGTCTTTTGTGGTTTTGTTCTTTAATTTGTTGGCTTGCTGTTCTTCTGGGGGGTTCACATTTGTATGTGTTTACTTAAAACCAAAGTGAGCTTGTTCTATGAGAGATAGGTGGGAGAAGGTGGGGGGAGGAGTATGAGATGGTGATGTTTCTTGTCTTCTTGAGGTCAGGACAGGAGGGAGGGAACTGTGGAAGGAAGAACTGAAGACTAGCTGTTGCTGATCTGTATATCTGTCTGTACATTGCATCCATGGATTCTCTTTCAGCAACATGTTAATTTTTAGAAGAGAAGCATTTCGTTTTTGTCGTCATCATTGGCAACCATGTTACTCTTCATGTTCATCTGCTCCTTCCGTTTTGTCGTTGCTCTTGATAGTACTCTGCATTTGGTTAATGGTCACGCGGCGCTGTGTCGGGACAAATTTTTCACCTCCCATAGCCATTTGCTTGCCCATTTTTACTGAGACACTGATGCTATACCTAATTAGGCATAAGAACTCATCTTTACATCTCATTTGCATGGCTGCTGGCGGCAGGCCAAACCAAAAGCAGACAAGTACTACCAAGTGTTTATGCTGCTAATGATGGGCATAAACCATGCTGCTTCTCTGGCGCAGGCAGTTAGCAAAAGGCCACCGAACAAACTAAAGCAAAGGCATGGCATTTGGCAAAGTAAGCAAGCTGTAGATAGATAGACATACAATTAAAGAAGGCAATCCAAAATCCAAAGGAGATGAGAGAATGTGTGCCTGCCAGCCAGCCAGCCAGTGCAAGAACTTTCCTTTTGACTAGGCCATATAAAAACCAAAAGGGCAAGCCGCCACATTATTGTGCATGTCCAGCTTGGCCATGATCTCCCTCTGTACCTGGAAGAAGAGAATCCTTTCCACCATCTGAATGACTAATGGAGGCTGGTAAGTAGCAAAGTGATGTGATGAGAGGTTTGGGGACATTTGTTACTGTGGTCTTTCCAGGGACAACCTGTGTGTTGTTGCCACATCTTTATCCAATGGCGTGTTAATGATCAGGGAGAGGAGGAGGAGGAAACCTCATCATTCATTGCATGGACAAGCCCCATTTTCACTCACTTGCCATGCCTGTCTGTGGGTGACATCCACTTGTAGTAGTAGGGTTTCAGCCATGTGGCGTGGTCGGGGTACGGTTTGCGATCAGAAAGGATCTAGGTGTATCCTATCTTGCCATTCATATAGGGTGTCTCTTCCATAAATGTTTCAGAGAAGTAACAACTTCAACTGAGAACAGGTGCACAGCAAGTTGAGAGGTATCTTAATGGGTTGTTTTCAATTGGGCATCTCAGCCATTTTTTATCGTTTGTTTCTGCCTATTTCTTTTATCGATGTGAGGTTTCTGCAGGGTTTCCTAAACCGTAGGGGCCGGGGTTACCGTGCCTTGGCGTAAGCACGGTTACCGCGCAGTAATCGCGGTAACCGTGAAAAACCGTACGAAACCATGTAAAATTTATCAAAAATTCAAATTATTTTTTAAATTTATTTGAATTTAAGGAGGTTACCGCGGTTTTTCTATTACGTACTCTCGCGGTAAGGCCGGTAACCGCGCGGTTACCAATGGTAATTTAAACCCTGGGTTTCGGGGAGAGGAACAAAAAAGATTAATTGGATGCATGCATTGTAAATTTGCCTATTCAGAAAAATGTCATCATAATTCGTCTATTCGTACCCATGCCAATAAAATTTTACAAAATTAGAACCATGCCACTGCCGTCACATTTTCCATAATTCTCCTTTCTTTTTCGTCTTCTTTCTTCTTTCTCCCGTCTTTTTCTCTAAATTACCTAATCCAGTCAACAGCAACCAAACCAGCTCCCAAGCAGACGAGGTGCGCAACTAGCCGTCGGCGGGGTGAATGAACCCCAAACCATGGCAAGAGGCGGTGACGAGGAAAAGGTGGAGTGCACGGCGTGGATCCGCTAGGAGGAGAAGGCGACGCGGGTCTTTGCAGTGTACAAGCGGGCGGGGTTGGGAGGTGGGGCGACAGCATCGCATGCCTTGGAGGTGCTCGAGTGCTCCCTCTCCGAACCCCTGGTACGGGAGCTGCCTCTCCTCCTCCGAGCTCTAAGGATTGGCAACACGGGTCTTCGTGACGTACGGGCAGGCCAGGTCGAGAGGTGGGCCAGAGGCGTCGCATGCCGATCCAGCATAGCTCATTCTAAGAGAGAGAGTGAGAGAGAGAGAGACCGCCCATAGCAGTGCGAGTGGCGGCGGCAGAGCTAGAGTAACGACAGTGGAGGTGAAGGCTGGTGCATGTGGTCTACAGGTTCGGAAGGAGAGGTACGGCCTGGTGGTGGCGGTGACAAGCTCGGGGCATCGCGAGTAGATCTGGCATCGGCAAGGTTGAGGACGACGATGAGGCGTAGATCAGGCATCGACGCGGTTGAGAATGGCGATGAGGCACGGGTCCGACAGCGGCGCAAGCAGATCCAGCAACGGTGAGGTCTGGAGTGGCGACGAGGTGCGGGTGCGACGACAACGCCAGCAGATCGGCCGCAACGACGTGGAGAGGTTGGGGATGACGACGAGCCGCTGGTCCGGTGACGGCGCAAGCAGATTCAGCAGTGTCGAGGTCGGAGATAGCGTGTCCTGCAGCAGCGAGGTCTCCTCCTCCAAGCTCCAAGGATTCTAAGGATTGGTTCGCCAGCTTGACTCTGGGAAGAAGATAGGAGAAAGAAGGAAGAAGACGGAAAATGGAGGAGATGGAAAACGTGATGACAATAACACAGCTACGAATATACGAATTGTAATGCCTTTTTTGAATAGGTAAATTTGCAAATGGCGTGAATCCAATTAACCAAAAAAAGCCCATCAAAATCTTGACTTGGATGATCTTTTAACTCATATCATAATTAGTCGAACCGAGTCGGACTTTTAACTTTGAGCTTAACAAGCCAACTCATGAGCTGCTTGTTTAGTATAAAAGATCATTATATTTTTATATACTTTGTTATTATGCGTAGTCTTTTAGTTACAACAAAATTATTTATATTTAGTGATATATTTTTAGTTAGTGGTAATTATTATGTTAATATATGATGAACTGGTAAATTTAAAAGCATAAAGGTGGTATAAATGAGACAAAACCTGTAAAAGAGCCAGCTCATTAGCCGAGCCAAGCTAGGATTTTTAGCCTGTTAAGATTAACGAGCCGTGATTCGTTAAGGTAACAAGTTCAAACGAGCCAAGCTGGCTTGCTATTCACTCATATTTGTATGGGATCAGTTTAATCCCTTTATGTAAATTCCGTTCGTTCCAAATGAGACCTGAAATTAATCTGGAAGGCTTTCCGTCCGGTGGATATACCAGGTAGCTCAGGTTGGCCGTCGGGCGGCGGCGGCGGCGTGTGGCGGTGGCCGGTGGGTAGGGGAGTTAATGGCCTTGGTTCGTTGGCGCAGGTGGAAACCGGCACGTTTCTGTGGTCCTTCGGCCTGTCCACTGTCCAATGTCCGTGCCTTGGATCCTTCTCTCGCAAAACTCCTGGTCCTTCTTGTATTGCAGGTGCTCCGTGTTTTTGTGCGTGTCTTGGTGGGGATCTGAGCGAAATGGAGAGCAATTTGTCCAGATGAATTAACTGCGCACTAGTGACAGGACAAGCTGCACATTATGACTGTTTGGCCCTGTTTTTAGTTCCAAAGTTTTTTTTTTCAAACTTCCAACTTTCCATCAGATCGAATCTTTCATACACACACAACTTTTCTATCACATCGTACCAATTTCAACCAAACTTCTAAATTTCAGTGTGAACTAAACACAACCCGTTCCACTCTAAAATTGAAAATTGGAACGATGTGACGGAAAAGTTAAAAATTTATGTGTCTAGAAAAGTTTGATGTGATGGAAAAGTTGAAAGTTTGAAGAAAAAAGTTACTCCCTCCTTCCCTAAATGTTTGACGCCGTTGATTTTTTTAAACATGTTTGACCATTCGTCTTATTCAAAACTTTTGTAAAATATGTAAAACTATATGTATACATAAAAGTATATTTAACAATGAATCAAATGATAGAAAAAAAAATAATTACTTAAATTTTTTGAATAAGACGAACGGTCAAACATGTTTAAAAAAGTCAACGGCGTCAAATATTTAGGGATGGAGAGAGTATAATCTAAACCGGGCCTATAGTGGCATGTGCCACGAACGTGTGTTGACTTGAGCTCGACCGGACCAAGCATACCCTAAAAAACTTTTTTTCTCAAATTTAGAGATGTGCCACGTCTATTTACTTCTCTTCTTTTTTTTTTCCTGAGACGAATTCGAGTTTTATGGGGGAGATGTAAAGTTGTTGTCAAACTTTACCATGTCGAATATTACGTGTTTTATAGTTCCTATTCAAATATTACGCACCTTATATTGTTTGGCACAATATTACAATTTTAAAAGTTGGTTTTTGTCAAGATCACGTCGCGTGTCACACTCCACACTGTAGGAGATCAAACATCCATGAGGAGAGATGAGAATACCATTTTGTTGGTAGTTTTTAAAAATGACCCCTTTTTTTAAGAATTCAAATATAGGTTATTGGTTGGAGGAAAGAATATTTTCATGTCCTAAATGAAGATTTAGGGATTAAATTTGGCCATGCTCTAATAACTGATCAACCATGCGTTAACACTGAAGTGGTTGTTTGGATCATGAAGTGTGCTAGCAGCTGATCTTAAAACTTCTTGTAAGTTAGCTTTTACTGAAATGAATTCCGGAATATTTGATTAGCATAGGACTTGGTGAAAATGGTGTTTGTTGGCTCTAACTGTTTTTCAGTTTTTTTCAGTTCATGTTTTGGGGTTTTGGGATGAAAATGGTTTCAGCTCAGCAAAAATCAAGCTTACTGAAATTGTTTAGTACTCCCTTTGTACTAAAAAGACTTAGAACTGTCTGAAATTTTTAGTCTTTGGTTGATAAATTAGGGATGAGGAGTGTCCTTCATTCACAAGAAAGTAATACTCCATATTTCTAAGTGGAGGTAAGAAGTCATTTTTTTAAAAAAATAACAAGGTAAGAAGTAGATACAGGTTATTGGAGTGATAAAACTTCACGATTAGTGAATTGCGTTAGGTAAGAGGGAGAAATCCACTCTTTTTAACAAAATCTAAACGATGAAAATGAAGTCTTTTTTAACGAAAGTAGTACATAAAAAAACTTTTTAACTAAACATGCGATCCAAAAAACTAGAAAGGGTAATATTAGAGCAAGTTTAATAATAGAGCCAACAATGAACTTATAGCTTATCTTAGAGTTAACATGTATAGTAAATGGACTATAAGGTTACCTCTTTTTTTTCTC